CACACACACACACACACACACACACACACACACACACTATAGCCTCTTTGCAGGCGCTTCTCACATTTCTCTCATTCACCCTTCTCATGCGACCAGAGAGAGTCCTAGGGGACACATATGCCCCCACGCACGCTCAATTCTGGGCCTGCCTTCTACTCCCACGTCCAGCTCAGGATAGTGGCCAGCACCACCACTTCTTCCCTCCGACACCCAACTTTTCCAGTCTGCAACCCACCTGACTTAATGGGAAAGAGTCTGTTTGTGTGTGTATGTGTGTACCTTATGCACTGTTTGATGAAGCGTGCGTGCACAGATGTGTGTTAATGTAGCGTGGGTGATATCTGAGTGGAGTGTGTATGGGCATGCAGGTGGGTATTATATACTGTATATATGGCTGTGTGTATGTGTGTGTGACAGTGTGGTGCATGCGACTGGAAGGGCAAGTATGTGCATGGTGTATAAGGATGGAGTTGGCATGGGTTGGTACTCAATTAGTGCTCATGTCTGCCTTTCTTTTAGTGTTGTTGCCTACCCTGGCCAGTGGGTATGACTGGCCTTGCTGGTGGCTGCCTGCCATTCCCCCACACACTGGGCTTGCATTTTTCCCTCCTGGCCACAAGTTGCTCCAAGTAGATTTTCCATGCCAGGCCCTGCTGCTGAGAATGGACCCCAGGCTGCATTCAGTGAAGAGAGAACAAAGCATTTGCTTTTAGGGAGCATTGTTGGGGATTGGTGTTTCCCTGCAATGGGACCAGAACCCAGCCTGGAATGCAGAAAGGGATGGGACACCCTTATTTGCCAAACGATTTTCAGAGTGCCGGAAAAGTGCCTATAATAACTGATGTTTCAGGGAAAAGAGAGCCTTTCAACACAAATGCTATGCTGGAACATGTTTATGCCTAAGCCCTTGTTCTCCACTACTTTCCTTTCCTGCTTTGCACTGAAAATGAGACTCATCCTGGTTTACAGAGAGCCAAATTCACCCTCAAGCCCTGAAAAGCCGTGATGCCATAGCAATCTTTCATCATTTTCCCTTTTATTTAACCTTGGCTTGAGAAGGAAAATGTAATTTGCATATATCTGATTCTAGTGAAATCTTTATTAGGGAATGGAGAGAAACTCACTTTGGTGGCAAAGGTATTTTCAAGAAATGTCTGAATCTAAATCCCAAGTGATGATTCCCCATTGACCTAACACTGAAACAAATGTAAACAAGAGGCTTCATCTTTCAACCTTCCACCCTAGGTGCCCACCCCACTCAGTACATAGCCAACTTATAAAATCCACTCCTTCCTGCTGTTAAATTCATATTCTAGTCCACCTCAGAATAACATGAGAAAAGGAAAAGAAAATCAAAGGAATGCACACCATTTATTACCACACCAAGCCAACCAAGAATTTTTTTAAGGAAGGGGTATTTCCATCTGTTATACCCTGTATTTCTCTTCCAACCTATAAATTCCCTCTAATACTGTCTATAAAATATAAGACCTAATAATAGAATCCCTTCAGTAATACTTCCACAGGCTTCTACTCTAAAATGAACCATGTTATAAGATTCCACTAAATATGAAACATACCATCTTTGGCTAGTGAAAAATGAGCATGAGAAAGAATATAAAATAATGCTTTAGCCAAGAGGTACCATAAATACCCGAACATTCTTCTTACATTAGTCACATGACCAGAAACTGAGACATCTGTGTATTTTCTAATTCATGACACTTGCTCCACTCCCTTGCCCTAAATATGTTATTTTAATGTTTACTGAGTAGAAAGAGGTAAGTGCAGTGACCTCTCAAAAATATACAAACAGCTTTTAGTATGTGTTTTTGGAATATCAGTTTTTAGAGTTCTATTATGGAAAATTCCAACCTACACAAAAGTCAAGAGATAAGTAAAATGAACTCCTGTACCCATCGCCTGATTTCAATAAATTATTAAATCATCTAAAAAATCTTATTTCATCTATAACTTCACCCACTCCTGACCTTCACCCTGCCACTAGATTAGTTTGAAGAAAATCCCAGACAACATATAATCTCATCCATAAATATTTCAGTCCAAATATGTATCTCTAAAGGAACTTTTAAAAATGATAACACACAATACCAGTATCACATAAAAGCATACAATTTGATCATAAAGATAAACTTGTCCCACAATTGTTAATCACATCTCTAATTCTCCTTTAAGAATGCCACTCTCTCTGCCTGGAATTTTCCTCTTCCCCCTTCTTCTTTCCTCTTCAAATTCAAATTCAGTTACATTTCCTCAAAGAAGCTTTCTCTGGCAAACCCAGACTAAATTATATACACTCTTCCTTCATATCACTTATCCCAACTTTAAACTATATGAAGGAATTATGGAACTAATGTCTTTTTCCATTTCCCTCTCTCCATACATACTGTAAACTACTTCTTCTTCCTCCTCCTCCTCCTCCTCCTCCTCCTCCTCCTCCTCCTCCTCTTCTTCGTCTTCTTCTTCTTCTTCTTCTTCTTCTTCTTCTTTTTACAACTAGGATTTTAATCTTTAACTCTCTGTAAGCTCCTTAAGGGCACAAATATGACCTCTGTCTTGTTCACTATCTTGTTTCCACTTGTGTTAGTTTTCTGATATTATAACAAAACAGCTGAGAAAAGCATTTTAAGAGGAGAAGAGATTTATTTTGGTCACAGTTTCAGAGATTTCAGTCCATTGTATCTTGGCTTCATTGTTTCTGGGTATGTGATATGGCAGAATGTTATGGTGGAGAGGGTATGGGCTAGGAAATATGGCCCCAGGAACCATTTCCTCCAGTTAGTCCCCACTTCTTAAAGTTTACACCATCTCCCAATACCACCACCAGAGGACCAAACCTTTAATACATGAGCGACTGGGGACATTCTAGATCCTAACTATAAAACCACTTAGCACAGAGAACAAATAAACATTGAAATAGGGAAAATAAATCCATGTCAGACTCCATAACATTAGGAAAATTTCAGCTTTGGTAAATTGTTTGCATACATATGAGTAATAGTTATTATATAGTTACTTTTCTTATAGCCCCATCCTCAGATACCCCCCTTCCACACCAATTCTGAGCTTAGCTATGCATATTAGCTTATCTATTGCTGTGTAGCAAATGACCCCCAAATTGAAACAACACACTTCTTCTTTGGGTGAGGACCCCAGGGATGCCTAGCCAAGTCGTCTGCTTCAACATCTCTCACAAGGCTACAGTGAAGGTGTGGGTCAGAGCTGCATTCTCATCTCAAGGCTCAACTGGGGAAGACTCTGTTTCTAAGCTCACTTACTCACTTATTTTGGGCTAGATTCAGTTCCTCAGGGAACTGTTGGGATGTGTTTGACCTCCTCATGGACCTCTGCAGGGGATAGCTCACATGTGACAGTTGGTTTTAACAGAGAAAGCCTATCTTTAAGAAAAGTCAGGGCTGGAGGGATAGCTCAGTGTTGCCTAAAACATGTGAGGCCCTGAAGTGGATCTCCTGCACCACTAAGAGAGAAAAAAAGAGAGAGAGTGTGTGTAACAATATTTCATAACCTAATCTAGAGAGGGATTTCATATTACTTGTGCCATTTTATAGTCATTAGAATCAAGTCACTAAGTGTGGCCCTACAACAGGACAGGAGGTTCCACAAGGGCTGGAATACATCATGGGGAACAATTTGAAAAGCTGACTACTGTACCATGTGACTTACTTTAGCCAATGGGAGACTAATAAAGACGGCATGGTAAAAATTTGCAAAGAGCATGCTCACTGGGGTCTGCCTTTTCTTCCTATGCTTGGAACCCTGAGACCACTGTGTAGACAAACCTGAGCAAGCCTGCTGGAATATGAAATAACTTACGGAGAAGAATGGAGGCACTCCCCGTTGATAAGCAGCCAATTCCCAACCAATAGTCTGTAAAACCACTGGACCTATGAGTCAGGCTGTACTAGATCATGCTGGAGCTACCAATTGATCACAGAAGCAAATGAGAGTCCAGAAGAGATCTGGCAAGTCAGTCCAGAGCAGAACAACCACCAGTACAAATTATGGAATAGCAAGATAAATAAAAATGTTTGTTGTTTTAAACTACCACATTTAGATTGCTTCTTAATAGCTAAAGCTGACTGAAACATTCATCAGTTCTTTTTCTGTTTTAGACAAAGTAACTGAGGACTCAAGAGGCTAAATAACTTGCTCAATGTCACAGTGCACCAGGCACTGTAGGAAAAGATCTCTAAGACTTGGCATCGCAACAGTACAAATAGTTCAAGTCTAACCTCTGTTGTTTACTGGCTGAAAGACCATCACAGATCCCTTATACTTCTGAGCTTCAGTTTCTTTATTCAAAACAAAAACAAAAG